GCCCGGGGCTGTGCGGGGGGAGGAGGTGGAGGAGGTGGATGAGGAGGAGGATTCAGACCTGACAAGCCGCCTCCTGTTCAGCAACGCCGGCGGCCGGGCGGGCGGCGCGGCGGCGGCGGCGCCGGAGCCCGGGGCAGCGGAGGGCGTGGAGGCGAGCGTCCGGGAACCTGAGGGGCCGGGGCCGCGGCTGCCGCAGCTGCCACAGCTGCCACAGCTGCCACAGCTGCCACAGCTGCCACAGCTGGACGCAGGGGCGCTGCTTTCTCCAGTGAGCGGTGCGCTGGAGTCTGCGGGCGAGGCTGCGGAGGAGCTGAGGTGAGCGCGCGCACGCCGGACGCACGTTGCTGCCTTGGCAGCATGCCAGTGCAGGGGGTTGCGCGGCTGCAGCGTCGGCCCCTGTTTAGAGCGTTGACGCCTCAAAAAAGGGCGCTGTGCAGCCCAGCGCGATGACGAGGCCGCCTCATCTCATCGTGCTGCGGGTTCCGCCTGCTGTCGGGCGCCGCAGGTTCCGGCTGCAGTCCGCGGCGGAAGACTCGGCCTCCGCGCTTGCTGCGCCCCTCGGCCTTGCGCTCGCCGCCGGCGGAGCGGTCTACGCCGCGGGCTGGCTGCTGCTGCCGCTGGCTGGCGGCGCGGCGGCGCAGGGGTCCAAGCTACAGAAGCTGCTGGCTGGGGGCGAGGCAGGGGAGGCGGGTGAAGACAGCCAAGTGCAGGGCGGCGCTGAGAAATCCAGCGGCGCGGAGGCCGCGGCGGCGCGCGCGGACGGCGACAACGGAGGACCGGCGCCCGCCGGGGCCGAGCCGGGGGCGGAGGCAGAGCCAGGCGAGGGAGCGGGGGCTGCGCCCGCGGGCCGCGGCCGGCGGGGCAGCGCGGGGCTCGGCAGGCTGCTGGATAATGCGGACGGCGCGGGCGCCTCTGCGCTCGCCGCCGCCGCAGCAGCTGCGGCGGCAGCGGCGGCCGCGAGGGCTGGCGGCGACGCCGGCGCGTTGACGGCGGCGGCGGCGGGCGGCGGCGGCGGCGGCGTGCTGTGGCAGCGGGCTGACCCAGAGGGTGGGGCCGGTGCGGCGTCGGCAGGGCCGGTTCTGTGGGAGCGACAGGAGCAGCAGCAGCAGCGGCAGCCCCAGCCGCAGCCACCTTTGGCAGGCGCCGCAGGTCCGGCCGCCGCCGGCGTGGGCGGTGGCGGCGGCGTGCTGTGGGTGCGACCCGAACCGGCAGCCGCGCCCGCCGCGCCGCAGCCGCGGGCGGGTGCCGCGAGGGCCGGGCCGGTGCGCGGCGCGGCGCGGGCAAGGGGGCCGTCTCTTCTGGACAATGCCAGCGAAGGCGAGGCTGCGGGGCAGGGGTTGGAGCCCTCGATTTGGCCATACTCATGGCCAGAGCAGCAGCAGCAGCAGCAGCAGCAGCAGCAGCAACGGCAGCAGCAGCAGCAGCAGCAGCAGCAGCAGCAGCAGCAACGGCAGCAGCACCCATGGGGCCGCAACGGCTCTGAAGGGATGGCTGGCGCCATGGGCGACATTGCTCGGGAGCCGCAGCAGTGGCAGGCTGGGATGCGGGAGCCGCTGGGGTGGGGCTGGCAGCATCATCAGCAGCAGGAGCAGCAGCAGGAGTGGCAGCGGCGGCAGCAGTACGCCGACGAGGGGCGGCCTCGCGCGGCCCAGCCAGCGCAGCCCCTGTCCGCCCGGCTGCAGGCGCGCCGCGTGGCGCGGCGCGAGGCGTGGCTGCGAGGCCTGTGGGCGGCGGAGGCCAGCACCGTGTCTGCGGACCCGTGGCGCACGGCGCCAGCGGCGGCTGCGCCGTCGTTGCAGCAGCTGCGGCTGCTCGGGCTCGCGGACCCATCTGGGTACCTCCTGCACCTCCCAGCCGGAGGGCACGGCCACGCCGCCGCCGCCGCGCCCGGCGGCAGCCCCTGGGAGGCGGCCGCGCCGGCGGCTGCAAGCTCCGCGCGTGGCCCCGCTGCTGCCGCCGGCAGTGGTGGCGGCGAGGGCGGCCGGGGCGCGGCGCGCGCGGCGGCGGTGGGGGCGCTGGCACTGGACCCGCCTGATCTGTCTGACATGGCGACGCGCTACAAGCAGCTGCTCGACAATTTGGAGGGGGTCGACATCTGACGGCGGGCAGCCCCGCGGCGGTGCAGCATGCGCCCACTGGCGCGCAGATCTAACAAGTGTCACCCGTGTTCGCCTGAATCTTCGTGCCACTTGGGCCGTCGAAACACACTCCACACCCTCTTAGTTGACTCCGTCCACTTCCCACCCATTATTGGCTCAACGCCCGCTCAGCCCGGGCGTCGCCCCCGTTGCGCCCGCTCAAATTTCGCTCGTCCGCGAATCGGGCAGCCGGGACGCCCCCGGACCCTGGCTGGCGCCGCGACGCGGTTGTCATCAGACCGTAACTCCCCAGCCAGGTGTTGCCGCAGGCACTGTCTGAACCCAATCAGGCCTCCCTGGGTCTTTGGGGCACCCCAGATCCCCTGCACGTGCCGCCGCCCCTGGGCGCGCGCCGAGTCCCCCATCTCGCCTCCTCATTCCCGCAGCTACTCACACGTTCATCGACCCACCACATCCACCCAACATGTAACCCCCCGAGGCTGTGCCCTGGAAAGTCGGTTACAAAGTCCCCCCCACCCTGCTCACCCACCCAGGGTGTCTCTTCCTGTGTGTGAATTCGCCTGCATTCAAAGATGGCCACTGAAGGGCCTTTGGTGCTAGGTGGCAAGCAGTCAATTTATGAACCTACTGGTGCAGAGGGGCTGCCCTCAGAACAACCAAACGGAATCAAATCAGCGCACACGCACGCGTCACATGGGGCCGACGGCGGCCCCTCGACGACGGCGGCATGGCGCTCGGGCCCGTGGCGGCGGCCCATGCGGCCAGCTGCTGCTGCTGGGACAAGGGGGAACGGTGAGGAGTGCTGAGCAGGGATGGCAAGGGCGAAGCAGGACGGACACAATTGTGAGGGGAAGACAAGCCACCGGCCCTGGGAGGTCTACAGGCAACAAATGGATCTCGCCAGCATCCAGCTCCTGCAGGCATCCAAAGCACTACTGTTCAAGGTTGGGGCTCAGGGCTCCCGCACAATCCTATCTCAGCAGCGGCGGAGATCTTATGGAAGGAGAACAACGAGAGGAGGGTGACAGCTAGCCGCGCCACCGCGGCGCGCCACCGGCAGCTCCGCCTGCGACGCACATGCTCGCCCGCAGCGGGCCGCCAGCGGCGCCGGCGCCGCTAATGTGGCCGCCGCCGCCGCCGCCGCCGGTGCTGACCCGACGGGGGGTTGGCGCCCAGTGCGGGTCATAGCCAGGGTGGGCGTGCGCTTGGGCCTGCTGGGGGCTGCACGAAGACCGCCTAGTCAGCGGC